GCATTATTTATCTTTTTTTATTGAGTATAGGCAAAAATAAATGCACATGCAATGTTTATTCACGAAAATGAATCAGAGCAGAGATAGAATAAATATGAAATAGGTAACGATTTTCTCTCCCACATCCTTTTTTAACACTGGAACTAAACTGATTTGAAGCTATTGTATTGGTTTTTAATTTCCTACTACATAAAAAAGCTCCCGAAACCCCATTAAATTGTTGTAATAGAGAGGGAATTTACTAAAGATGTATGTAGAAAACATAATGAAGGTCCATGTTCTCTGTGAAGAATATACTTTATTGGTTATTGGTTAAGCGCTTCTGACAGGTAGATTAGCTATAACATTATCAGTTTCTCAAGGCTATTGATTGCCAACCTAAGGCAATTGAAAGCCAGTCTCTTTTGCTTGTGATTTTTATCTGAGATAAGATGCTGTCAGAACGTCACCTTTTTCTTGGCATTTGTCACTGATTTACATTTACATTTTCTGCTAAGAATTAAAAATACACAGAAATGTTTGGAAGCACAAAATTGTTTTTTTATAATAAGACAAATCCACCCCTTTCACATGAAAGCACCCCATTCACTTTCAAAGATGATACGCCATTGTTGTTACCCAGTATCGTGGATGTGTATTAAGATACAAATGCCCCATGAAGTGTCAAATATCGCCATGTCTCCTGAGGGTCCTTATTTTTTTAAGCAATGAAGTCGCCTTCTATCATAAAGTAGTGATGCCATGAACTATGAAGCACCTTAACAGACTTGGCGTAAAGAGTGGAGATTTCCATTGATGACGTTATGAGCCGGTCACATGAATATTAAATTAGCTAATTAAATTTGCTATATCCGGTCCCCACTTTTTTGGCTAGTAATTCACGAAAAACAGTCGATTCAGAATCGCAGGGAGATTTCCCAACTCTATTAGTAAGGTGTACTCTTCTCTGATAATTTTACATTGCAATTTTTTTATACATCAGGTATTATAGAAAAACATAAGCCGTAACATGGAGGTCGCGCTGATCGGGCTCAGACCTTTCATACGTATAAACATGTCGAGCCAACGAAGGATACGTTGGCTTCTGCACTGATAAATTTTGATTGACAGCTGCAGAACTTGAAACCATGCGCAACGCAGAGAATCAACTCTCACTTACCTGAAGACCGCAAAGCCCCACCTTTTATCCACTTTCTTTTCCAAAAGATTGAATACATTGTTATGCGCTGTACTCGTTCAATTCCGGTCTTCGCCATCTCGAGTAACGCTGAGGATTAGACCGATTATGAGGATCGCATTTCAAAGGACGCTGCTTTGGATTGAATGGTCCGATCTGATTGGACGAAAGGGATACTTGAATTCCCGTTTTGACTCGTTCTTTTTTGGGACAAGCCATCATGGCCGGAGTAACGCTAAGACGGATGTGCCGTGGAGACGTGGCGGAGGTGACTGGTCTGACAGAGTTGGAGGGCTGGAATTACAGTCAGGAGATAGTGCAGGCTCTCTTTGAATGCAACGCAGAAGGGTCGTTTATTGCCGAGTTAAATGGGAAAGTTGTTGGTAAGCACAGCTACCTACCCCTAGATCAGCAGAGTAAGGAACGTAAGGCATTACATGTGGATTGAAAAACCTGTCTTTGGGATGTGTATGGGTCCTTCTGGGTGTTTTGTGACATTGGGTGTGGCCGTCCCTGGGGGTGGTTGATTTTGTTTTTACAACGTAATTTCTGGGTGTGGCGGTCCCTGGTGACGCTGAGGATTATTCTACATTTAACATCGTTATTCTTGTTTTATACCTTTACGCCATTAGAGTTAGGAACATGAAACCTTCTGGATAGATAAACGGTAGGTGCTCCGTTTGTGACCTACTTCTGCAAACTAAGGTCAAACTGTTTATATCAAACTGACAGTTACAGCTAAACACCTGGCTTGAAATGAATCTGTGCTATAAAAATAATCACATGTCAGACTGAAATTGATGTTAAAAATGAGATTTGAAATCTTTATGCAATTTTATTTATTTCAGTCATTAGTCTGTTATTTTTCATGAGAATTGCATCTTATATTGCTCTAAAAATAAACAAACCTAATGGTTATAATAAAAAATAATTTATAAATAAATGTTTTCAAAGCATTATTTAAGAAAATAAAAATGTTCACTTAGTTATCTTTTTAAAGTGAAGCACTACATATATATATATATATATATATATATATATATATATATATATATATATATATATATATATATATATATAGTTTGGAGGAAAACTTATTTTTAAGCCCAGTAAAACTGTATTAACTGTTCAAAAGATTAGCACATGTTGTTCTCAGTTGTGAACAGAAACACCCTTGATTCAACTATTGCATACGTTCGCCAGACGTTGTGCCAACGTGTGTGTTTTGCAAATAGGATATGCATATAATGATGTAGTTGTGCCAATGTATTACTGCCAACACCAACTATATGCTAACAAACCAACCATTTCCCAATCTTACCCCAACGTATGCATGCTATCTGGGAATCACCGACAGGGTAGCTCGAATGGTCTCGAATGGAGATGAAAGAAATTAAGGTGAAAATGCATATATTACAGTCAACCATCCACAGGGACGGTCACACCCCAAGTCATCAAAAATCCCAATATGCCCAAGCATATCTCTAAGTACTCTAACGGTAGGTTTATTAATCCCGACGTTTCAACCTTCTCAATATAAGGTCCAGCGTAGGTAGCAGAAATTGTTATGTAAAAAATTACAATCAACCAATCCCAAGGATAACCACACAACAAGTCACAATAAATCTGAAGTGCCCATGCACATGCCTAACAATAGGTTTATTAAGCCCTGACGTTTCAACGTTTTCACTCAATGGTCTAGGAAATTACAGTGTGAAATAAATTATATATTATCGTCCGCCCCAGGGCTAGCCTAACCCGTTCCTATTCTAATTCTACCTGTTTCGTTCTTCAAACCGTTTCAGAATCTTGATTATAAAATGGGTGGAAGTTGCAAAACGGTTCAGTTGCGAAATGTGGCTGTACACCTGCTTTATATTTTAGAAAGCTTCAACAGTTCCCTTGGCTATTTATCTCTCTGTCTCCCTCTCTCTTTTCATACGCGCGCGCACACACACAAAAAAACACACACACATAAAACACACGCACAAAGACATATATATGCACGCGGGAAACAAAAAACAGAGTATCGGTATAGAGCCCTATATCAAATGATTTCTTGTGTGTTTTAAGGTGTAATAATGGGGTTTAACCTGAATGAAGAGGAATCATTTGGAGGAATGTGGATCGATCGTCAGTCAGAAGCAACGCGGGCAGCGTGTCGGTAAGCAGACATCTTGGTTTTAGATATCTGGTGTGAAGACACAATATGTATGAATCTGTTTTGTTTACTGTTTACCTTCATATAGTAGTCCAGTTCCAATTATCGAATTTGCATTTCATATATATATGTGCTGAAATTATTGCAGGGATTGTAGTTACTTGTCTGGTTCGAGGGGGATAAAGCCTTTGTGTCATATTATTTGTATTGATCACACACTGATCCTCATGCTTGAAAAAGTTTTATTCATGAATTACGAAAGATGGCGACAGTCATCTTTCTTTTCAGCCTTTGTTGTCCGTCTTTCTCCTTTTACATACATGTATGGTTTAATTGCGGGGTACGCCATGTGTGATATATAATACGTGCAGTACAGCACAGGCTTGATCAAGCGGAAAATTAAAATCGGTAACTAATACAGTGCAGTGTACACGGCGCCATTCATAACAGCCACGGGAGTTGATTATACTGTTTAGCTTACATTTCGTGCGTTTGGCCGCAGTTCATACTATGAGCAAGTGAAATATACTTATTTAATAAACCGTGATAAACTTATTTTCTTGATTGAATAGGCACAAGATTGTGGCAAAGAAGAAAAGAACACATAGGTTTCAGGAACTTCGGCATATTTTCGGTCGGGGATAGAGTTGAACCCAACAGAAAATTGGGTTTCACTGTAGAGTCATGGAAAGTATGTCATATATCCGGCATCATCGCTTTGGCCAAGTTAAATGTGGATCCTGACAACACCGTTTCTGTTATCCCGTCTTATGATGTCCCTTTTCACCGTTTGCTTCAGTATGACACTGAAATCCACAGGATTGAGCGTGGAAAGTTTCTCAGAGCGTGGCTCGACAAGAAGTTCACCTTGACCCTGGTTGCCAGCAGTAGAGCAGGAGATATTGTTGGATATGGCGTTATTCAGCGCGGTGCCAAGTGTAATATCATAGCACCACTGTACGGAGATAGTCCAAACATCATCAAGACTTTACTTGTCAAGTTAATCAGCAGAGCTAGTAATGGGGAGGTCATTGACATGTGGGCGCCGGTCGGGAGTGAGGTTCTGCAGGAATTATTGAGTCAAAATAAAAGTACGCTCAAGGTGCTTTATGAGTCAACCCGAATGTTCTTCCATCGTGACATGGTGGTCCCACTAGAGAAGATTCTGGCCATTGCGTCGGCGGAGATCATGCCTTGTTAAACATCAGTGAATCCAGTTATATGCAACAGAGAGCCTAAGGTACAAAGGCTGCTCACTTACATTCAACTGAAACTGATAAATAATAAGCCAACTTTACCAACTATGACTTACACATTCATTTTTAAAATGTTGTGCAGAAGGCCTTCTGAAAATGTTGACTTTCGTTTCTAAAAGTAATATTTATATAGTTGAAAGACAAATGTTTGTGAGTCATTGTCCGTATTTTATATCCTTGTTTCATGAAGGTATATTACAAGGTGGCCCAAAAAGACTGGACTGTGTTCTTTTAAAAATGATGATACATATCTCTGTATACAAGGCAAAAGCTTACATCACACAGAACTTTCATGTCTGTAAGACAGGTCTGAGAAAAAAGAATTGATAAATTTTCCTTTCAATTGAAAATGCTACTTTATAAAAAGTGGAAACATCTTTTTGGACAACCCTATATTACGTACATCGTACCTGAAGCTACGGACATAAGATTAAGTAATCGTTATCATCGGTTTAACTAGAATATGCATGTAAAATAAGTTTTTTGATCATACGTAATCCTACCATAAAATGTTGGATAAGCCAGTCAATAAATTGTGGAACCGAGGACAATACTGTTTCGACAGTAATAAACCAATCAGTGTACTCCTGACATATTAAAAACCATTAGCGTACCATTATTAGCGCACCAATCAGTGTTCACGTGGCATATTGACAACCATTAGGGTACCAATCAGTTTGTATAGAATGTACAAGGGTGGGACAGCTGTTGCGTAAACCACTGACGTTAAGTGCACCAGTAAAAAAAATTATATCGAGTTGTGTTGTTCTACTTAAACTTTTCATGACTAATATAATATTACATCTGTTTATACATCTCTAACTGCCTTATCCCAAACTGTAACTGGGATAACGAGACAAGATAATTCTCTGACGTCACTTAAAACGGATTTATTTTCACGAATATTTTGTAATTTACCTAAAATACCGATTTAAACCTCCTATTTCCTAGATATTCTAACAGGTAGGAACCCTTCCTGTGCAGAAACGAAGCATCATTTGCATTCCACGTTGTCATTACAAACATTACTCTTTATTAAACTAACCCTTCATGTGAGCCGCATTTAATAGAAAACTTTTATGATCATCTTTCACATCACAGGTTATGATGGAATTAATGCTGATGCAGAGGCGTGTCAGCGGTGTCAGAGGCAGCACACCGGTTGGTTTGGATTTGTTGATGATTGGCAGCCAGAAGTAGGTAATATATAAGGCGTAAATGGCAAGGATTTGAAGTGGACACAAACCACAAATACGATTGATTTCGGACAGTGAAATAAAAAGGACGCTGCATGGTAATACGTGACAAGATACCATTATCTATAAAATGAAAACAGTCGTTATATCTGTAGCTGAAGCTGACGGATGCTCTAAGCAACCAAAGGCTGAGCGCGGTGACAACAGGTGGTCAGTGGTCAGTGTCGGCACTGGAAGAGAACTTTAAGATAACACTGACAGTTATGATGTGCACGTTGTTCAGGAATGGATTTCATTTATTCACATTTTGTTGAATGTCACCACTACTATATCATCCTTTTTATCGAACCATTCCTGCCGTTTTTATTGTGTAGAAAGAAAAGTTATATCTCCACGGAATTGTCTTGGATATACACAATGATAGTCTGATGTTACAGATAAAGGTTAAACAACAAACACGATGCGTCATACCTGCTTTTCCGGATTTTCCTCATAATGTGTGACTCGATGGTGCGTTCCGGCAGGCATTCATAGTTTGAGCTGTCTAAAGATTCATGGATACATGTTTGGGGAGAGGAGTGGACAGAGGCGTGAATATTGCAGACATGGAATTTGTTCGATGCAAAACAAACACGCTACCACAACAGAACCGTGCGTAATTGGCTTTGTGAACAAATCTTGGTTGTATATTCCGATCCTCTTAATTATCACATTCATGACTTAGTTGATGGGGGATCGGTAGCAATATAAGGAATGGCTATTTTCCATATAAGACAACTGTGATATATCCCCTAGCTGAGTTTGGCACCCAGCTAGGCGACATATATACAACGGATATTCCCTCTCCGGCTGACTTAGAGGATTTGTTTCAGCAGAACAGTAGATTTACGCTCACATTTTTCAGTTCTGTCTCGATTGCGATTTATTTTTTAAAGATGACATGGTGCATATTTAGCTGCGATAAGGAACAGAAAACAAATCCAACAAATTTAAAAAGCTTTCATTCTCTAGAAATGGTCCACCTTACAATGTAACTTATAATACAGCGGGAAGCACTGGAAACCCTGCATCAGCAAGAATAAAAAAATTTTACTATGGAGACTAATGCAACGTTATATGATTACCAAGAGAACGTTTCTATTCCCAGCACTTGCCAGAGGATAGCATGTACACCATTCATTGTGGTGGAAAGCGCAATCTCGCTGACAACGATTATGTCGAACTCTCTTGTTTTGATAGCTTTCACCAAATTCAAAGCGCTGAGAACGAACGTGAACATTGCTATATTCACCCTGGCCCTAACTGACTTCGTGACAGGTCTGGTTTGCATGCCTTACAGTATAGTGTGCGGCTACTTGACGGAGATGGTACCGTCCCTGCACCATCTTTTATACAACAAGTACTACTGCCTGGGAAAAATGTGGCTACTCGGAATGACTTTTGGGACTTCGCTTTTCATCCAGGTGCTTATATCAATGGAAAGATATATTAAAATCTGTCACCACGAAAGATATCATTCATTCGTGACAAAGCGGAGAATCGTTGTGGTGACTGTAGGTATTTGGCTGTACATGGTACTGTTACATAGTCTCCCTTTTATGGGTTGGAATACATGGAGGCCCGGGACTGAGTGCCATGTCAAACACACAGTGGCCGACTTCTACCGGTATGCCGTGATCCCCCACGTTCCCGTGGGTATCCTCCTTCCACTGGCCTTCTACACGGCCGTCCTGTGGAGGGTGAAGAAAAGTATGCGTGCAGTTAGTGCTGAAATCGGTGACGGCGGCAACATTAACCAAGCTCAAATAAACAGTGAAAAAACGCATTTAACTTTGGCGCCAGTGGAGCTAGACCAGGCAGGGCCTTCAGGGCAGAGTGAGGGTGCACGACGCAAGGATGGGCGCCTTTCAACAATAGTTCAACCGAAAATAATGCCAGTGTTCCATAAAGATTGTCGCTGTCCCACGAGCTCAAACGAGTCCCCTTACCTCCCATGTGGCAGCAAAGGGAAAGGGATAGGAAAATCAACATTGCGCAAACACATGAAGAACCTTACTAAAGAGAACCCTTTGTTCTTGACAAACATCATAAAACCGTCGACAGAAATTCGTGATGTGGTTTTCTGTGGGAACCCGGGGTTGCCTTGTGTTCATCTGCCCCTCCACACACCACAGGAGAAACTGGACACTGTAAAGAAAGATGTTGATACAAGGGTTCCAGTGGCGTCGCATAGGACGCAAGGTAAAATGATCCCAGCACTGGAAGGTGATAAATCAATGGAAATGAACAAGAAAAAAATAAGATTTAGAATCCCTCCTTCAACTGTTAGCGTTAAGAATGCGGAAGTTAAGGTTTTAAAGATGACTGCATTAACGTGGTTCTTTTTGGTGATACTTTTTGCACCCTATTCGATTCTCCACTGGTGCGAGAAGTACTTTGAGGCGGACAATTTGGTGTTTGTAGTTCTTCGGAACATCGGAGTTGAACTGTTGTATGTAAGTTCCACCGTCAACCCGTTCATATACGGTGTGATGAATAGTAACTTCAAATTAGCATTCAATAGACTACTGAGCTTTTTTTAGTAAAACTGAAAAACGTCGTTCGTAGGTATTACGTAAAAACAACTCACGATCCACATGTACCAGCACTGTATACGGAACCGGTGACTACGCCATAAAAGCGCACTTCCTTGTTGTAAGTAATGATTGTTCTGGCTGTCATTGTTATATAGCAGTTCCAAGTCCAAACTCCACCACACACAGTCTCTCTATTGGCAAGACTCATTTACATTAGCATGCGTTGTATTTTTACTTCCCGTATGGATCAGTATGTCGTAACACATTTTTAAGATTACCAGTTCTCTTACTTACAAAATAAATTTGTTTTCCAAACGTTCATATCCTGTTTTTGTAAAGTAAGTAGAAATGCTTGAAGTAAAAAAAAGTCACCGAAAAATAATTTCCTGATTTATTTTTTTTATATTTTCACAAATCTAGTCATCCATATCAATATGCCAACAGTGGATCGCTGTTTGCTCATAATATTATATGCAGGAACATTTAGATATGATATCGATGGCTTGATTCCCAGTGTGCAATTAAGAAAGACAAAAAATCGTGAAGATGATGTTCAAACGTAAACAAGACATGCTTGGTACTTTCTTAATCCCAAACAGAAAGAAAGAGAGAGAGAGGGAGAGGGGGGAGTATAGAGAGTGTCAGGCAGTCCCCTGACTGGGAGGTGAATCATTTGTCTTCTTTATCTCAAAATATTGTTTGCATGGAGAAACTGGATGTTTTGGCTTTCTTCGTCCCAAATGTGCCCATACAATGGAGTAGTGACCCTTCCTACGCTCTCTCAAATGGAATCATTTACTATGGAGCTCATGCAATGATAGCGTACGTTGACAAGCCTGCTTGTCGCTGAAACTTAAGCATGCCAGTTTTAGCAGAAATCTTCAGAAAACACTGTTACTGCTGTAAGAGCAGAGATAAATCGATAAGATTCTTCCCGGCAAAATTACACCAGCGGCAAGCTGGGAACCACGACATGAGGTGTGCGCCGCAGCTTATTGTTTGCTCTGCCGTAAATTATATTGTAACCGTCCTGCCTTTACTTGCCAACTTCACATTTTATGACAACCTTGTGAGCACCCCTGGTACACCTAAGTAAGCAACTTTGATCATTACCATTTGAGGGCGTCAAAAAGGTCATTTGTTAACATGGAATTGGAGATAACTGTTTTTTTTTTAACTCTAAGGCATAGAAAAACGTTCCCACGGTTTTTTTAAGAAAGGGTTAATTGATAGCTACTGTATATACAGCTGTGACACTATAGCATATAAGCTTCTTGGCAATAACCAATTCAATGCCAGTTTATGTTACTAGTAGGATTTTCCCTTATCAATCCGCTTAGATATAGCACGGAAATATACAATATCATATCATGCGATAATGCCACCACATCTAATATATAGAGAGGGGGAATTTCCTAACTCAAGTCCGTGACGTGACAGCGGCGATTTTGGAGGTTGAAAACTGTAATACACCACTTCCAATCACATCTCCCTAAAAAGTACAGTTTACAATATCTATTTTATCGCAACAGCACGTACTGCAATCTGATGCCAGGGTATTTTCTTGGAAGATTTACGTCGGATTTTATAAGCAGAAAGCAGATATAATGCCTTCGTTTAATGTATCAGGCCAGTAGCCAGGGGGGGTTCGGGGGGTTCGAAAGAACCGCCCCTTTTGTCAGGAAAAGG